CGGGCGCTGTGGCTCACGCCTGGACATCCTAGCTCTTGGGAGGCCGAGGCGGGGGGATTGCTCAAGGTCAGGAGTTCAAAACCAGGCCGTAGCAAGAGCCAGAGACGCAATGTGTCCCTGGTTTACTGATAATAATAAGTAAGATGTTATAGGAATATTTGATTTAATTTGCGGTTGTCTCAAAAGATATTTAATTGTTGTATATAAAATTAGCCGGGCATGGTGGCGATTTATGTGTTAGTTCCTTACGACTATCAATCGGGAGGTCTTGCATTTAGGCAAGATAAGGATCACTCAAATAACCCTATAGGGATGTTTTGAGCGTTAGCTGTCAGCATAGATGTCCGCTAGACAGCCAACGGCTATCTGCTATTCTAGCCGGTAACCAACAAAGTGGACTCATTTTTATATAGTGGTTACAATGTATGGTTAGTCTTCTTAAAGAGAACAAGCAAAAAGTAAAAAAAAATAAGTAAATAAATATAGTAGGCAGGAATATTTAATGGCTAGATAAATACACAATGTTTGTTTATGAGTTCCTAAGTTTGTATGTCTGGGTGATGGTACTTGGTGTTTGTTTTATTATCCTTCTTAGTATGTTGGAAACTATTTTTCAATTTTAAATTATGCGATTTAATTGTATTTATACCACCACACACACACATGCAGGGTTATGTCCAGAGAGTACCCAGCACCACTGTGTTAATGATATAACGAGAATGGTTTTGCATCACATCTAGTAATTTGGCAGCCATAGAGAGTGGACTGTAATGTTGCATGCGGTACAGCCCCACCAACACTTGTTATTGTCAGACTTTTCAATTTCCAACAATTTTGATGGGTTTTTAATAGTTTCTCCACTTAATTTCTATTCCCCATGAAATTACTGGGTATTGGGTTTTTTTATTTTAAAACTTACTTTAAAAAATTAAAAATGTCTCATATGCTGTATACTAAAATTTTCTAATTGATGAAAATAATCCATTTATATTCATTGTTATTTTACTATCCTTGGATTTATTTCTATAATCTTTTCTGTTTTCCATTTACCATCTCTTTCTTTGTCTCTTTTTATTTTTTTTGTTTAGATAACACTGTTATTGTTTTCACTTCTGATTCAGAAACTATAGAATGTATTTCTATTCTTTTGATGATAATGATTTAAAAACACTTGTAAAAACACTTGTAACTATGTATTTTCTTATAAAGTCTAAATGAATTTAATATTTCTCTTTTTTCAAACATGAAGCATATTTTAGCAATCTTTACCCATTGATATTCTTCATCATGTTATTGTTCAAAGATTTAGTTTTACCTTTGTAATTCAAAAAATTTCTATTTTAAAAATTATTTTTATTTTTTAACTTTTACAACAAAATTTTATTAATTTCTTTGTTTCTTGTATTAACTATTGCTCTTTAGATCCCAAACTTTCTTACCTGTTATTCTTGCTAAAGTATATCCTTTAATAGTTTAATAGTTTTAATTTATGTATCTGAACATATGCTTATTTTGCCCTCAGTCTTGGATAATTTAAATGTTTATAAAATTCTATAGATATTTTCCATCAGTACTTTTAAGATATTATCTCGAAGGCCAGGGTTGGTGGCTCATGCCTATAATCTTAGCAGGCTGAGTGGCAGGATTGCTTGAGGCCAAGAGTTCAAGACTAGCTAAGTAAGAGCCAGACCCTGTCTTTACAAAAAATAGAAAAATTAGCTAGGCATGGTGGCTCATGCCTATAGTTCTAGATACTCAGGAGATTGAGGCAGGAGGGTTGGTTGAACCCAGGAGTTTGAGGTTGCTGTGAGCTAGGCTGTCACCACTGCACTCTAGCCTAGGAGACAGAGAAAGACCCTGTTTCAAAAAAAAAAAAAATATATATATATATATATATATATAATCTTGATATCTTATTGTTGGTGATGAGAGAAGTACGCTGTCTGAGATTCCTTCGTAGTCGATGTCTTTTCTTTCTGATAGCTTTTGAGATTATTCTTTATCCACAGTTTTCTATAGTTTCATCCACTGTGTTGTAGCAATTTAATAGGCTGTGTCTTTCAACTAAGGATCCTTAGGTCTTTATTCAATTTGGACAAATTCTCAGCGATGCCCTGTCAATCATCGCTTCTCTGCAATTCTCCCTAGTCTCTTCTGAGGGCTCCTAATAGACCTATGTTGAAGTTTCTCAATCTAACTTCTATGTCTAACAACAGCTCTTTTAATATTTTTACTCCTTTATCTCTTTGAGCTATGTACTATGTAAATCTCTCTCAATAACTAATATTTGATTCAGAATTTTTTCTCTGATTGTGTCCAGTCTAGGGTTTGTATATTTATTGAGGTTTTTTAAAGTTAATTTCAATAATTTTGTTTTATATCTCTAACAGTTTATTTAAAAATATCTGCCATTCTACCTTTTTGTTTCACAAATTCTCCTTTAACTTTTGTTTCATTTATAACTTAAAGTACCCTAAACAAATTTAAAGTCTTTGTTAAACCACTCTGTAAAATTAATCTGGAGTGTATTCATGATTTGATTGTTGATTTTATTGACTATCTTTCAATTTCTTTGTGTATGTTGGAACTTTGGTACGAAGGCATTTTTATTTACCTCCCACCCCACCCCCTTTTGTTCTCTCATTTTTCTGTGTCCAAATGCCTCCATGTGAGTCCTGGGAACCACAGCTTATAGTGCCTTTTGGGGACTTCTGTCTTATGGAATATTGTAGATACATCTATAGCTGTTACGGAACCAGCTTGTGGATAATTTGGTTGTTAGATGCCATACCCCACTCCCAAGCTCTCAGTTTCTTATTCATCTGTAGGCTATCAACAGACATTATTCTACAGTCTCCTATAAATAGTTAAAAGCAGCAAGGCTACTAGCAGTTCCTAGCCTTGACCCAGCTCACTGAGCACTGAGGCCCTCACCCATCAGCAGGTAGCTGCCTCTGCCTGGTTCAGGCCAAGGACCCCAGATCCATATTTTATCGCTTTGTTTTCTGTTCCATTTCTGGTTCAAGAGATGTTTAATCTTGTTTTTGGGGCCCAGCTATGGTACTATGAGGTTTTCTTTCTGTATATTTTATCTAGCATTTGCTATAAGTTTAGAGCAGAGTGGGTACATCAAAGTGTGGGCCCCCTGTACCCTCTGGACTGAATATTTACCTAAAGTCCATTCTCCTTTTTATTTGATGCTTTTTTACTGATCTAAGGAGTTCAGAAATGGAAGCAATTCTAGGTTCTAAAAATGGGATTTCAGCTCCCTATACTGTGGAACTTTAAATATCCTTTATCTAGTAGTTTCCAGAACTGAAACTAATAAACTGAGAATAGAGTTTTATTGCTAGTTAGGTAAACGTTAAAATCCTTTGAAATCTTTTATTTTATGGTCCTTGAACTTAATAAAGTTCAAGTTTCATAGTTTGATAGTTTTTTCTTCAAATTATTTGTGTATGTATATATATATATTTTTTAATTGAATCATTGCATTTAGCTTTTGCTTACATATTTTTATGCTACCATATACCTTTTCTCTCATTAGTTTGGTCACTTTTTCCTTTCTACCACCTCTAAAAATGAGAGTGAGGACAGCAATAAAGCTAGACAGGTGTGTGGGTGACAAGGAAAGGACCCTCTGTCCTGGTCTCATACTTCAGGTGAGTGAACCGCAGAAACCCCAGGTGGGCTTGACGATTTGAGTTCGTTGCCCATCGGGGAACAACCTTACAGCTTCCTCGCTCCAACGGAGCCTGGGAAAGTGGAGACAGCACCTGGACTCTCTGGGCTCATAAGGCAAATGTAAGACCCCTACACACTTCAGTGAACTTCAGGGAGCAGCAAATATCTCTCATTATGGTCCAGGGTGGAGTAAGTAGGCACCGAGGCCCAGGGACCTGCTGGAGGCAGGGGACTTACACTTGTGACGAATATAGCAACCTCAGGTGGCAGTGATCATGCATCTGGAGATCAGGGAGGCCACGCAAGTCTCATCAGATGTCTGATGGGGAAACACCCAAGCCAAAGACTAAATGAGATTGTTCCACTTTGGTGGATGCCAGGGAAGGACAGAAGACACCCTCATTAAATATCTCCCCTCCCTCCAAAATGCCTCAGGAAGCGGTTGGAGGAAGAGTGGGACACTCTGAGTTGACTCAGTTTAAATGATGCATGATTTTGTTTCTGTAGAAATAACTATTCTACCATCTGCCATGAGGAGGAATGGGCTCTTAAAATTAAAATGAGCTATATGAAAATAAAGTATTTTTTGGAAAAAAAAAATTGTGGGCTATTGATTTATAATGCCCACTCAGGCAAGGAAACAAAAAATGCATCCTTTTTACTCAAAGTCTCTATCACTGCACCATGCCTGGCTCCGTCCAGCGTTCCGGATCCCCCCAGTGTCTCAGTCTATTTCAAGATGGGGCAGTGGATTCCAACTGGAGCCACTCTGCCCTCCAGAGGGCATTCATTTCTGGAGACATTTTTTGGTTGTTACACTGAGTGGGGGAGGTGCTGCACCTGGTGTCTAGCTGGTAAATGCCAAAGATGTCACTAAAGACCCTACAATGTACAGGACAGCTTCCTGCAGCAAAGGATTCTCCCACCCAAAATGTCCATAGTGCTGAGATGGAGAAATCTGAAACAGAAGGACATTAGTCCTCACTTGGGGGTGATTGCTGAGGATGTCTGCAGAATGGTAGATAAGACGCATAGAAACACAGGAGGGCAACCGAGCCAGAATTATTAAAAAGTTCCTTCTTTCTTTGTGGAGACTAGCTTTCCTGATTCTGACATTCAGAGCAGGGGAAGAGAAGCCTCCACCGTGGGATGAGGAGTGGAGCCCTCTAGAATCAGCCAGGCCAGGAGCTCTGAAGGACATCCCTCCCCAGGCTGCAGCCCCTCCCTTATCTCTGGTGTGGAGGAGCAATGTAGTGCAACATTAAAGAATACAGGCTTTGAGTTCTGAGTTCAAAGCTTAACCGTACTCCTTCCAGGCTAGATGACCGAAAGCAAGACTCCTGACTTCTCCGTGCCTCTGAATTCTCATCAAACGGCAACAACACTAACATCTGCTTCATGGATGTGTCAGATTTCATTTCAACTCCCGTGATGTAAGTTTCCTCCCAAGCTGCCTGGGACTTTGCTCACCTTCACATCTTTGACACACATTCATATGTTGAGAATCATGAAGACACATGCACACCCATCGTTTCCTGAATCTTTTGCATTATGTCAATACCTCATCATTTAGCACTCGTCATGGACTATCTCCTACTCTTTTCTGTTCGGACTGCCTGAGTCAGAGATCGTATTGGGCTCCTACAGTGTTCCCATAGTGATGAATCCATTTGTGTACATGTGCGTGTGTGCAGACTCTGTAGCTAGACAGCCTGGATTCCAATACTGGCTCCTACTTACTAGCTTTGTGACTTTCAGCTAGTTGCTTAACTTCCCTGTGCCCAAGTTTTCACATTAATATTATGAAGATAATCATGATACACACCTCACAGTGTTGTAGATTAAATACTTACCATATGTAAAATACTGAGAACAATATCTGGTACATTATAAATGCTACATAAGTGCTAGTTATCACCATCATCATCAATCATATTTCATCATTATTTTGTGGTCTATTTTAAGTTCCAAATAGTTACTAGTTGATAGGTCATTGGATTTTTTGGAGGGTGAGGCTGTGTCTTACTTATTTTTGCTTTGCCCATGGCCTTGACCTGGAAGCATATTCAGTTTCTAACATCAAAAGGAGCAAGTTGGGAGTGTGGGGGAGATACTGGAGGTATTTCTTGGTGGTTGCCCAAACACAAAAGAGATAGAAATTTTGACTACTCTCTCTAATCTGCCATAGTTCTTGCTAGAAACTCCTTTCATCATACTCTTAGCAACTGTTGTCTGAACATATTAAAAGGAGTCCCCTTTGAAGAATGTACTTGGGAACTGTCACTCCTCCCTACCTTTCTTCCTATCCTCTCTCGGCAGCTGCTCAGCAACCAAGGGACCAGAGGCTTCATTAAAAACTAGAGCAGATCGGGTCTCCACACCCACATTGCCATTCTTTCCAGAAAGGTGTCATGCTTCGTTTTATTAAAAATCAATCCATGACTATTTATCAGCTTTTACATCATAAGTGAGACATCAGAAACTGAATTTGCAATTCTTAGGGAGCCGCCCCATGGAGTTAACAAAGGAAGAAGCTCCAATTTAGCCAAGGTTGCTATGACCATGCTGGGTTGCATGGAAATATGTACCTCACGCTTCTGATTCATCTCCAATAGAATCGGAACAACAACAGATTCCATTAAACCTAATATGCATGTAATTAAGTAACCGCTGGGGACAAAGCACTGTGCCAGATGTCTGGGGTATGTGAAGATGAATAAGATAGGGACCCTGAGCTCAGGGCACTAACAGTTGGTGGAGGGGAGAGGTGAGCTCTAATCCAGTGGGAAGAGAATCATAAAAAGCTCTATGGAGAAGACGGCATCTGGGATGGTCTTGGAAGATTTGCAATGTCTCAATAGGTGGAGACAAAGAAGCAGCATCTGGCTCTCAGGAATCGTGGTTCTAAGAGATGCTGGGGAGGAAGGGACTGCGTGAAAGGCCTGGTAGCAGAAGCCACTCTGCACTCAGTCTAGGTCCCCCGGGGACAAAGGGGCATCACAGCAAGGCTCAGGGAACCCTCTGAGGGGAGTGTTTCCATTGTAATGTCAACATCCTGCAGTGAGTGGTTCTGGAGGAGGGCACAGTAGAAGAAGAGAAAGGAAGGGAGGGTGAGGGAAGGCAGGACAGTGAGAAGCCCCTGGACATATCTAGCACCCACTCCAAGCTGTGGCCCCAGCAGTCTCTGGCCGCTGCAGCTGGTGAGACAATTCTGCAGGGGCAGCCACAGGTGATGACCTTGAGTGTCAGGATAAGCTATAAAGGGCTGGGCCCAGGACCCAATTGTTATCTGGGGAGCATGGTAAAAGTTCAAGGAAGCCAAAAAAAAAAAATATTATTGAATACTTCAAAGGAAATATCTCTGAGGATTTGAGGATGTGATATTTCTTTGCCTGTTTTTCATGCTTGGGATCTCAAATTGAAGTTGCTATCTTGGACGTGAGGGCAATCTGGCTGCGACATCTGTCACCCCATTGATTGCCAGGCTCAATTCGGCCGATCTGGCTGGCCAGGCAAGTGTCCCCTTCCTCCCTCACTGCTCCATGTGCGTCCCTCCTGAAGCTCCATGCTGGGTCAAAGAGAACGACCTTCCCCACTAGAGGAGGAACGGTCTTCCGTCAAGGGTATACGAGTAGCTGCGCTCCCCTGCTAGAACCTCCAAACAAGCTCTCAAAGTTGCTTTCCTAAGTCGCTAGGAGTGAATGACATCGTCCAAGGCGGTCAAACTCATCTCCTTTATTCGAGTAGCTGAGAATCTCAGTTGTTCATCCTATAATATCTGTCCTTAGCACACCTCTTCCCCGGAAGGTGAAAGAGATAGAAGGAACACCTTTTGCAATGTGGTCACGTGGGAAAAGGTGGCAGCCCTAAACCGCTCCCTGCTTTTGGCGACTGCATGAGCATCCAGCAGAGGGGAAAATGACAAAACGTTCTTTCTTTTGGCATCTGGTGCAAACTCGCCTTCCCAGCCCAGGCTGAGACACCCCTGCTTTATGGCTGTGTCTCAGTAGGTAGGCTCGAATCTTGCAAAGCAACCCCAAGCAACAGTCCCCAGCAGTATGTGTTTTAAGTTAACAAATGATGTTTGTGTGTGAGAAACAATTGCTTCTCAGACAATTGGCCACAGGTAGCTGAAAAACAAAGAACACCTAGCCTGTAACTGATATTCCTTCTCCACTACTGGTTTGTAGCTATTGTTACAGCTTCCAGATGGTTGGCATTTTAAGGTCTCCTGCTGATACCTTGCTTTGAGGGAGCCGCACTGCCTCTCCATGCTTGGCTGAGACAGTATACGGTGGGCCATGCAGCTGTGGTGCTAATTGCAGCAGTTCTTGGTGATGCCTTTGGTCTGGGAGTCCCAATCCCACGAATCCTTCCAGAATCTCCTCTGTTCTGTCTCCCTGCTGGAGTTCTTGCCCCTGTGAGCCCAGCTTCTCTACTCCATTTAGAATATTCCTTTCTCCAAAATAAACTCTTGGGCATCCAAATGTGTCATAGGCCTTCATCTCCCATGCCACATCAGGAGAGGAGGAAGGAAAGAGCCCCTTGTCCCCAACCTGTCACCAGGAGGCTGTTTTAAGCATGCTTGGTCATCAGTGGTTCACTCCACTCTTCCTAGCTTTCCGTCAGGCACAGCGCAGGCCCTATAAATGTACGCTGACTCAGAAATTCCCCTCCTATATTTGATTTTTCAGTAATGCAATTAAAATGACAGCCTCTGCAAAGCGGCTTATGGGAAAGGCTCTTCTAAAGATAGTTTTGATTGTAATTCTTCCTCCTCCTCTCTATTCTCTTCTCTTCCCCTTCCTCCCACCCTCCCCTTCTTTTTCTTCTCCTCCTCCTCCTTTTGCACAAATGCTGCCTCTCTTTCCCACCCTCCCCCTTCAGTTCTTTACCATCCCCCTTCTTGCTCACCAGCACCTGCTCCTGGGCAATGAGCTATATGGAAGTCTCTGCAGAGCAAACGTCCTCTCGGACTCTTGAGGAGGTTGGGGGAATCACCACACTCACAAAGACAGGTGGAGATGAACAGAGAGGTCATCTTTCAAATTCAGAAAGCCTCCTAGCACTCTATGCTTGGAGTAGAGGCAGACTGTTGAAAAGGGCCTCCATCCAAATCCTCTGCTGGTTCAACTGGAGCCTCCACTCCTGGCTCATTGTAAATGCAACTTACTCCTTTCAGACTCGGGGCCTTTTATCAGTACTCTGTTCTGTTTCATTCTACCCAGAGTGACTTTATCCCTCTTTCCAGCCTGGCCAAATGGCTCTCATCTCTCAAGCACAGACCCACAACTCACATCTTCCACAAAACCTCCTTTGACTGTTCCGGCCACTGGGGAGCTTCCCTCTCTTGGGCTCTGTCGTATTTAATATTTATGGCTAAGGAACTCTTTTGAAGTTGTTCTCTGCAGCGGAGATGCTGCCAAAAGTAGCCTAACTTTTCCTGAAGGATCCAGCAATAGACTGAGATTCCTAGACCTCCTTTCCCTCACTCTTGATCATTCACCTGCGGGCTGCTGCTACGGGGCTGAAGGGAAGATTCAAATCCTCAAAGCATGGGTCAAAATTTGTAGGAAGTGCTTTGGGTTTGTTTTTTAATCTTCAAAGGCTGTCTTGTACATGTCAAATTTTCTTTTTGAAAGGACATGGCAGAAAAGCGAATTAAGCAAGAAAACAGTTACTCAATAGTAGCCGAGCATCTTTTTTTTTTAAGAAACAAAATTTAATGTGTATTCTAATACAGAAGTCTTTTTAAAAGTTATTAATAGAATGGCTTCTTTTTCTATGGAATTTTTTTTTTTTTGGTAAGGGGATAAAGAAGTTACTCAAGGATAGGTCAATACTTTATATAAAAAATGAAAGTGAAATGATGAAGCCACTTCCAAAGTGGCTGCTATGCGATGTTAAAGTTTATTTGTTTCTGAGACATAAGAACATCGGAAGTGCCAGCTTGGCCAGCTCTCTCAAACCCCGCAAGCCCTCCCTAATAGCAATACCTACAGAAATGTCCAAGGAAGACGTGATCGTCCTCAGAACATTCTCACAGCTTAGAGCTGTTCCCTCCAAATCAGTTTCCCTCCATAACCCATCAGACATGTCACTTAGGAGTTAATCTGGTCTCTACTCACACAAATTTGGTTTGGATTATTTCTCCAAACTTGCAACTCAGTGTAAATAACACAATCAGAACTCAGTGAATACAGAAGATTTGGAGAAGTTCAGAATTTCGCATGTGTAATGTGGTTCAAGCACGTTTTAAAAATCTTACGTAGTTTACAAAGTTTGATACATCTCTGAATAGTACGCTGTTAAGGAGACTTATATGGTAGAGTAACAAAAATTGGGCATAAAAGTAAAAACATAATTTTGTAGTTTGAATAAAAGAAGAGCAGGGCTTTAAAACAAATTTTTTTTTTTTTTTTTAATTTTTAAA